CAATATGCTGACTCTCTGTAAACCGCTTAGAGAGGCCTGAAAGGCCTATGAAGCGGTATATAAGTCTACTGCTATTGCTATTGCTATTGGTGGCATTTGCTCCTGGCAAGATTGGCCAAAATGTTCTCCAATAGACACCCCCGCCCCAAAATTGCTGGAAATGCAACCATCAACAAGGGACCTTCTACCACATGTGGTGGACATGTCTCAAAGCTAGGGAGTACTGGAAAAAAAATCCAAAAATGATTGGAGGAAATAACGGAACAAAAAATGGATATGAAGCCAGAGCTGTTTCTTCTGGGGATAATAAAAGGAAATATAAGTAAGGAAATTCAATATATTATGCTTCACGTCATTATCACCGCCAGAATCACATTCGCCCAAAATTAGAATTTTTTTTAGAAATTTAAGAAAAAAATGTCCCTCAAACGCAGAGATCATAAAAAAGGTGCTAGAACAGTGTTTCTCAACCTTGGCCACTTGAAGATGTCTGGACTTCAACTCCCAGACCTCTGCATTCGCTGGCTGGGGAATTCTGGAAGTTGAAGTCCAGACATCTTCAAGTGGCCAAGGTTGAGAAACACTGTACTAGAATGCGCGGAAATGGATAAATTAACGATGGAACTAAGGGATAGAGAGGAAACAGTATTACAAGACATGGAATAGGTGGTATAATTGGCTAGAAAAAAAAATGCCGGTAACAGAAAGCTGTAAAAGTGTAATTGTGATGTTAATGTTTAAAAAATGTTGAATAAAAATTATTTAAAAAAACAAAAAAACCAAAATCAGTTGGAGAAAAATACCAGAAAATAAATCAAATGTACGCGCAAGGTGATCCAGGCTGAAATAATTTTAGCTGTTTGCCTTTTTTGTTTCTCAGTTAGAAGGGCTAGTTATAAAGTTCAGTTCCAATTTGTACTCTTTCAGCTCTGTTTCGTAGCAACTCCATCCCATCCCATGATCATTCCCTATCAAGGCACACTTGACCTCAACAACCAAGAGCTGTTTAGAGTACTCATTATTCATGTGTGACTAAAAACATCCCTACCACTTCCATGCACCAGCTGCCACGAGTCTTTCAATTTGGAAACACAGGAGTGCAGTTAGGGCCATCCATCTATTTGGGCTCTTAATATTTTTCAAGGAAATTGGGGTTTTCCCCCGTTATTCTAGAGAAGGGGTTGGTTTTTCCTATTGCCTTGCAACATTGGAGGCTTACTTCTGCCTGGTACTTGTCCTTGCCCATTCTCATGGTCATCCGCCTACTCAGTGTACTAATAGAACTAATACAATATGAAAATCTCTTCCCACATTGTGGCTTCATGTCCCCAAGGATACAGCTGCTTAGCCAGCAGAAGGCTGAGGTTTCTAAGGAACTCATCTGTTCAGAATCCATAGTTATAAAAAGCCATGAATATAAAACCTGGATTTTTTTTCCCCCATCAGTGCTCAGAATATGTGGCTTATGGTGAGACTCACACTGAAAGGTCTCAGTCCTTGTGGTTTTTCCCCCAAACTGTTCTATGAGCCAATCTCAAATGGATTTGATCTGTCAAAGAAAATCACTAGAAACCCAAACCAGGCAGACTAAGAAAACCTCTTCTTGCTCCTAGATGTCTTTTCATTCCTAGGTCATTAGGATCTTCCCATCAGAATGCAACGATATGAAACTGAAATGATGCCCTTTGTTGAGTTTGCTCTTGCAACTGTCAGAGTCCTCCCATTATCATTTCCTCCGGCCATCTTTCTCAGATCTGCATCATATAGTTCTGTGTTGTAGATTGCTCCCCTTTTAAACTTGGTTGTTAAGCTGTAAAATGAAGACCAGTCTGTTATTAAAAGCCATATAGATCCAAAGAGCTATGTTGGTTTTGTAGTTTTCTTATTTTTTTTTTAAATAAGATGAATATGTTCTATTTGAATTGGTATGACTGCTGTGTTTTAATTATGCATTGTTTTTTTGTGTCGTTTTAAATTTTTTGTTTGTATCCCCCTTCCCTGGTTGAGTTGTGAGCCGCCCTGAGTCCCCTTTGGGGGGAAAGGGCGGCATATAAATAAAATCAACATTCAAAAAATCAACATTGATTAACAATATTTGCAGGCTTCCCTAAGAGGCATATTATATAAGCATATTATCTCTGATTTGAATGCAAAGACTAGCCTGAGGAGTAGGAAGAAGCCAAGCTGGATTGGTTGATGATGCTTTGCCTACTTTATGGTCCTGTGATAGGATGTTGTGGCCTGCTTTCTGGCCCAAGAAGAAACATTCAAACAGTTGGAGGAAATGAAGAATGAGAATGAACTGTCCTTGGAACAGCTTAAAGAAGAAAAGGAAGCACTATTACATGAACTAGAGCATACTAAGTACTCAGGAGAGGCCCGGAAAGTAGGGTGAGTACTCACTTTTCTTTGGCTGTGAGATATGCATCAGCAACACACACTGGCCACCAACATTGCAGAGTGTTGTTTTCTGCTATTCAGTATGAAGGAATGTATAGCAAGTAGCAAACTAAGCAGTGAACATTAGGAGCTGAAGTTCATAGCTTCCTTTCTGGAGTCGAGCACTGTTCCTGTTTTGCTCCAGAGCTCAGAATCTGATGAAGGAGTTACATGACCACCTACAAAAGGAAGAGAAGAGGCGTGATGCAACCCAGGCTGAACTGGACAAGGTGAACCGGGTTCTGTTGAATGCCAAGGCTGGCATTGAACATTTGGCTTCCAAAGTTCAGCATATCAAACTGGTGAGTGCTAAATGATTGCTTTTTTTTTTGCAGTCACCGATTGGCTATGTCTAGAGTTGAGGCTATCAGCTTGCTAAGGAAGAACACGTCTAAGCCTGCTTGATACCCATCAGACATCATGGCTTCCCATTTTCGCTGTTTATTTAACACCATGACTGTCCCCCATGTTTTCAAAAGGGGGAGCTAATTGTGTCGTTTTCACAAAAGATAGCGGGAACGAAAGAGATAGAAGAGACTAGTGTTTATAACAAACATTACAAAGACCCCCTAATATTTGTTGCCCTACTGCAGTGTTTCTCAACCTTGGCGACTTTAAGTCCTGTGGACTTCAACTCCCAGAATCCCAGTTTCTCAACCTTGGCGACTTTAAGTCCTGTGGACTTCAACTCCCAGAATCCC